CCTGTCATTTTATTCTATCCGAAAAATCGAAGCTAAAACGCAAAGAGAAATTGAAAATCTTTATAAAATAGCTGTTAAATGTCAATCAAATATTCATCGTTATAGAAAGAGAATTTTATCTTAAAAATGAAAAAACAAATAACTTTTTCTTTAATACCACGAGACTCCCCTCCCTGATAGAAATAATTGTTCTGTGTTCTACGCGGGTTCTCCATTGCATGCGAAGCAATGACCGACTTCACGAAGACTTCAGAAGGTCGTTGAAGCGACGTTCAAGTCAAAAGTATCTTAGGAGGAACCATTGCAAATCATGTTTTCTTAGCTCTTGTTTCCTCTAAGCTTTGAGGTATCTACAACATCACTGGAAGAGCTAGAGCAGCTTAGGTCCACGTATTCCAATAGAGTTAAAGCGTACAAACAACGGTCATAGTTTATTCTTTGTCGCATTTTCGGCAATAAGCCGCAAGCGCGCTCGACGATTTGACGTTATGTAACAGGCCAGTTACACATTTACTAGCTTTGACCTTACAACGAGAGCTAGAGTGGCGACTGGGGTTTTTCGTGTAATGTCTTGATAGCGACTGTTTATGTCGAAACGAGCGCGACTCAAAACAAAATTCCATCGTGAAAAAAGTTCGACTAAATTCCCTTCTGAAAAACACATGTGTATTTAAGGTGGAAAATGTTTCATATGAGCATTCAATTCTTAAAGGGTTAATTCTATAATCATTTTGTTTAGTTATGTAAATAAATTTAACACGACTTGTACTGTTTGTCTGAGTGAAAGGCGAGATGCGGGTTTTCCCTTTCTTTCTTTACACTTTCAAATATGACCGCTTAACAAAAATGCACGGGCTCACCGGCTTACAACCTTGGCGAATTCATATGCAGGCCTGGTCGCAAATCAATCACCCAGTTGCATCTATTACTATTGAAATATAGCTCAAATATATATCACTTAACATGTTGTCATATGTGAATATTTTGTGCATTTGAAAATTCATCTCCCTGATTACACACGTATGATAGCCTAGCTGAATTACAAGACCCAAGCCACTATCTGACAACCGGCCAAAAACAGCAAGATCCATCAGCCAAGGCGGACAAAAAGATAGGATAGATAAATCTTTTATTAATTAATGAGCGAGTAAACGCTCTAAAAGCGTCTAGTTTCACACTAAAAACTTTTGGAAAGTGTACTATTCCCTTTTGGCATTTTCAAATCCTGCAAGGACTTGCCTGTTTGTCCTGGATTGTAGATGGATTTTTCTGTCTGATCGAAGATAGCTTCTTTATTTTTCTCGAGAAACAGCGGTTGTTCTTTCTTGAATTGATGTTTGCCGTCTTGTGAAACACCGTGAACCTGTAGCTTGATCTTGGTGTTATCTTTGACATTTACATTTTGTGGAACCTTTAAATTGAGAAAATATAAAGTGTCAACTAAATCTCTGCGAGCTCAATCACTAGTGAAAATAACACAGTTGAGGTTTCTCTATATAGTGGAAGTAACAAAAAAGGTATTTTACAACATTTGAAATTAAACACTTTACGACATTTGAATTTTACGAAATTTGCTTTCATATGTAATATATGATAAACAGAATATTACATGGTCGCTTGGTGATGCGAATTTTATATTCTCGTGGTGAAGATAAAATCCGTATCTCCTCGCGCTCATGTGATATACTCGATCTATTTATTCATCCATTCAGAATTTACGGGTTTTTTCAACTAATAGATACAATATAAGCGGGCGAATATGGTATATTACTTATGAAACGTAGAGGTAAACCTGCTCAGGTTTTAAAGAAACTTAAAAAAAAATGAATCTGAACGAGAAAAACCGGAGTTAAAGTTTATGCAAATGAACAAGAATCTGTATGTAACATAAAACTCTCTTCATGGGCTATTAGATCGGGCTATTATTTCTATTGTGTAATGGCTTATGAATATTAATGAGTTTTATAAGTGATATTTAAAAAAACGAGTAGGAGTGTGGCCGAAGGCCGAGTGTTAATATCCACGATAAAACACGAACTACGAGT